TCCTCAGGGAAATCAACAGGCTCACCGCCGTATGACATGTCTGTTCCGACACATTCTTCCACCGGGGCTTCCACCCTTGACAGCACTTTCGGCCAAGGGAAATCACAGGTCACCGGCCTTTCGGCCTTGCATTTACCGCTCGCCCGGCAGACTTTGAACGGGCTGTTTGATTGACCGCGGAACCAGGAGATGTCTTCAAATTTGAGCTGAGTCCCCATCAGAAAGCACCTCTTCTTAGGGTCGCTTTTACTCGTCAGACAATAAGGCACACCTTTAACACAGTGGGTATGTCTCAAGTTAGTTTCACGGACACAGGGCGGGATCGTGCATCCACCTTTCACCCGGCAAAAGTCTACCCTCCTGTGTCGAGATATGAACTTGGAGAGTCTTTTGCGCATATTTTCAGCCCCGGACCAGCTTTTTCTCTGACACTTCTTCTCAGGTTTGGCTGTATCCAGCACGCATAAAGCGAAACCCTCGACACACAACGCCTCCTCTTGGTCTAGTTCGTCGGCGCACCACCGGATATCCTTCATGTTGCCAATCGTTAATTTTCGGATCTTCGACTTCGTCGTCTTGCCAGTCGTTAGTGTGGTATTCGTCTTCGTCGTCTTGCCAGTCGTTAGCGTGGTATTCGTCTTCGTTTTTGTGTCAGTAACTACACAACTGTCGCTCGTGCGGCAAACGTTGTACATCCCAGAGGATGTCAGCTGCTCTAACGTACTAAGGTCGAATGTGGCGCCGAACAGCGCACAGCCCTTCTCAGGGTGTGCTGCATTCGTCACGCAAAGTGGGACACCATCCAGACACTTGGCCCCTTCCAAGTTGGTCTCATTGACACAAGGTAAGAACTCAGCTAAAGCCGTGGAGGTGCTGCCTGAGGATGCACCATCGGCGCCGGCAGGAAGGAAGTTCAAGTAGCACCCTACCACGCCAAGCAGCGCACCGCCCGCCAGTGCCAGTTTCGTTTGTGACGGGCAGCGTTTCAAACCATCGCGCACGGCGTCGAGGTTCAACCACTCTGTCCATGAGCTGACCGCCGATCTTTGCATCCCCTCCCACCACTCTTCTGGCACTTTCGGCAATAGATGCTCCAGCTCTTTCCGCTTTAGCTTTCTCGTAAACACCTGCAACTCATCGTTGCCCGTGTCTTCAGCAACGATCTCGGATTCAGTCTCGGATTGACACTTACCGAAAGCATCCACCCAAATCTGGTGTCTGGTCTCCGTCTCCACGGTCTCCTCATCTAAGAACTTCTTCAGGCTGTTACGCACAGCAGACTCGGTGTATGCAGCGGTTTGCTCGGGGACATGGAAAACCTTGAGTCTGCTTATGCTTTCGAACACGAGCTTGCGCTGGTCGAGATCTGAGGCTTCGAGCTTGGCATCGAGCTCCTGGAGTTCGACCTCCGACCCTAATGCCACCGCGTGCACTTGGCCCTCGCCCTTCACAGCAAAGGTCAAGAACCTAGCGCTCGTCTGGTCGTCAAGCTCTGGTTGGAGCCCCTCGCTGGTTACTAGCGCCGCCAACAACTCCACTCCCCCCACTGACTGAACAGCTGCAAATGTCCTCATCAAAGCTGTGAAAAAAAGTTCGGCCGATTTCGAAAATACACAACGTGGAGAACGGCTTGAGTGGCGGCCTCACAGCTTGAGTGGGCCGTTACGCATGACGCTTAATGCTGCAAGATACGCGGGACAACGGAAGCGATCAGGTGGACGCCAGGAGTGCGGACGGGTGAGATTCTAGCAGCGACCCGTTGCCTGCATAGCCATGTGGAAACAGCGTAATCCAGTGAGTGGTTCGTAGTCTAGTCTGTCCCCGGGGGAATTTCATTTCGATGCTTCGTGGGTCTGTGTGCTGCGCATTCTTGATCACTATCCCGGGTATGTTGTTATAGGTGACGAATTGTGGTCTGGTGACGAATTGTGGTCTAGCGACGGAGGGGGAGCGGGGGGAAAATGGCATTAAATTTGAGCGCGTCGACTCCCCCTGTGATAACACCTCTTCTAAGGTTCGTCTGTATCCAGCACGCATAACCCAAGGCCTCCTTAGTTCGTCGACGCACCACCGGGCCCCCGGCTTCTTCGTCTTGCCAGTCGTCAGCGGCTGGACCTTCGTTACGAACGCTGCCGAACTCATTATTTACGTAGACCTGCCGCGGCATATTTTCACTGAGTGACCACTCGCACTTCGTAATTTATGTTAACCGACCGAGTGTTAACCGATCGAGTATCAACCGATCGAGTAGCTCGTCGGTATGGTTTACGTGAATGATGATCTCGTGATTATAACATTCGCAGCCCTGGTCTAACACGGCGTCAAAAGCTGAGTTCATGGCTCGTTGCTATGGTGAGTTCTTGATGCCAGAGGGCACGACGTTGAAATCATAGAGGCTGCTGTAGACTGTTTGCATGATTCCTGAGTGGGGACGTTCCAAAACCCCTTGTTGCAATCCAGCACAACGTACCAGTTGCGACCAACCACCACTCGATAGTTTCCTGTCTTCTTGGGTAGGACAGGACGTCCGTCGACAAGGCTAAGTCCGTCGACAAGACCAAGTCCCTCAACAGTCTTGCCCACGACAATCTCTAGTGCCGACTACAAGTCAACCAGAAGCGCAATGAAAAGCGCAAGCGAGCGGAGACGGTCACACCCGGATAGACGCAGAGGCTGCCAGAGCCGACGTGGCAGAGGCTGCCAGAGCCGACGTGGCAGAGGCTGCCAGAGCCGACGTGGCAGAGGCTGCCAGAGCCGACGTGGCAGAGGCTGCCAGAGCCGACGTGGCAGAGGCTGCCAGAGCCGACGTGGCAGAGGCTGCCAGAGCCGACGTGGCAGAGGCTGCCAGAGCCGACGTGGCGGCGTGCGAGGAGGATACGCCTAGTGACTATCTGCTGGTAATGAGTAACCGACTTGGGGTCGGGATCACTAACCCGGCACAAGGCTACAGCACTAAAGGTAAGCATCAACGGGTACGAAATGGTTGTGTTCCCGCTAGTCTGCGTCGGGAACAAGGGACGGTGACAAAAGAAATGCCGACGTTCGCGGTAGAAACAATGTCGCCAAGGGG